TCTTGGGGGAAAAACTCTGTAGCATAGCAGAAATGTGGAAGCTGGATATTTATAAAAGAGTGAAGAGAACAAGTCACTAAGCTAAAAGATAAAATTTAAGAGAGTGAATTAAGTGAAAAAGGGAAATTTTTAAAAGGCTGAAATGTAAAATGAATATTGTTAGGGTTGAGAGCTTAGTAGGTGCTCACGGCATGGATGGAGAAAGATTTCTCATGCAGAAATTAATATATAAAAGTAAAAAAGTTTATTTTGTCCTTTAGAAGAACAGAGAAAATGAGAGAGAGAGAGAGAGAGAGAGTGAGAGAGAGAGAGAGAAGGGGGTGGGGAGAGAGCAAGGAGATGGCATGGCATCTCAAAGAAAGAGAAGGGGTTGCCAACAGTGAGGACAAGTGACTCGCTGAATATAAGGGGGACAAAGAGAAAAAACAGTGATGGCTGTCAGTTGATAACAAAAGCAGCAGCATGTAGATAATAAAAACTGCAAGGATGTCAAAGTCCAAGAGTTGGCTTCCTGCCTTTCCTTGGAGAAGGGATTATCACAGGAGATGTGACTCTGTTCTGGAGATATGGTTGAGGCGGTGGTAGTTTGTTCTCCTGCTGTTTACAGTTTTGAAAGAGAGAGAGACTTATATCTCTTTTCCATCCATTCAGCTCTTTTCAGAAGTTGTGCAAAACAGAACTCCTGCAGGGTACCTGTCAGTGAGAGAACTCACAGGATAATCTTTAACCGTTACAGGGGAAATTGTGGGATTAGGTATTTTCCTGTTATTTTTGCAAGGCCGCCCCTTTCAAATATACCTCGTGGGATTTACTCAGACTAAGTGTTGCAAATATGCAGAGATACATAGACACACACATACATTTACATTTAGAAAAATTGTAAATGTTTTTGGATATGCGTATTGGCAATACTTTAAAATGGTAATTTTTCCCAGCCCATAATGAATATTTTATCTAGACACAGTTTTATAGACAAGTCCTCTCTACTTAGTCTATCTGAACCATATAAAGAGAGCTTTTAAATCTGTGCCCCTGTGAAATAGAACATCACGTCTTTCCTGAAGATGTTCTCATTATCCCATCTGCAATAAATTAAGCTTCATGTTGCCATGCACTGTTAAGGATTCTCCAGTCCCACAAACATTGTGTTTGTATCATTCTTCTTTGGTAATTAAAATATTACCTTAAACATTTTGACATTAACTAGAAATTGATTAGCTAATAAGCAACATTTAAAAAAATTATTGTGTCTCTACTATTGCATAGAGGGTGGACCTATAAAAAGTAATGCAATAGATGTTTTGTTTCTGAAGGTGCCGCAAGTGGTACCACATCAGATACATCTCTCCACTGACCTGCCATGGCCTTAACCTAAGATTCTCAAAACTGGGATCCCTTCCAGCTTGAGGTAGCAAGCTTAGTTGGGGACTGGAAAGGGGGTGAACACAGATTCAGAAGACCACTGATAAATGTAAATATTCTGGGAAGAAAATAAAGAGCTTCTTTAAAAATGTAACATTGTAAATTTTTTGGATATAAAAATGTAAATTTTTTACATTTTCCTTGAGCTCTGCTTTATTTGTTTTCAGATTAGCTACTAGTTACTTGTTACCTCAGGAGGTAACAGGAGCCTGAGACCGTTGGATGGGGTTGGGCTGAAGGAGGGCCCAGGTGTTCTGTAGGGCAAGGCCAGCTGTGGAGGGAGGTTGTTGGCCGAGCTTAGCTTCCAGTAGGCCTGGGGGCAAGCACCGCAGGTAGGAAGTGAGAAAACAGGGAAAGGAGGACACGGCCAAAGAAGTGCTTTAAGAAACTTTCCTTTGCTACCCTGCTTCTCATGTGCACTTGCCACTGGCCTGGATGAAAGTGAAGCTGCCGTGGCCACCCTTTAGGGCTGGCTTTAGAAGGAGGAGGAGTGGCCAAGTATCTAGTCTGCCATAATGGATTACTCAGAGCAAAACATCATCACCACCAGAATAGCTTGTTTTTATTGAAATTTCACTATGGGAAGAATTATTTCGTCTTAAGACCCCATACTCAAATCATATTTCCCTAGGAGTCAAGTATTTACCTTGCCAGGTTACTTTGGCTTAATTTTTGATAAAAGTTAGAATAAACAGTGCTGAATAAAAATGGTTTTTAAATTAAAATTCTTGGCACTTGATTCTGTAATTTTTCAGAATCACTTAGGTAAAAAAAAAACAAAAAACAGCAGAAAATATACATTTTAAAATATATCATCGAACTTAATATAGTCCTAAAAGTCTTACATATAATGACCAAGGAAAAAAATTAATTATGTTAATACCATATTTACTAGTCCAGCAGTAAATTGAAAATCATGAGATTATCATTCCCTTTAAATTAAAAGTAGATTAAATTTCTTGACTCAGATAAAAGCTCCAAAATTTATTGTTATATGTGTGAACTAAAAGAAAATCTTAACGCCCCCAGCCTACTGAATGAGGGGAGCCCAGAAAAACATCAAAGATGAGTTGCTGGCCATGAGGAGAAGGGCGGTCAGACATGCCTAGTTATTCCCTGTCCCTTTTGAGTTATCCTTTGTCACAATAAGACTCTAAATCCTTAACAGGCCTAAGGCCATGCAAGACAAATATTAAAACCACACCCTCAGGCCATCAGTTTACTTAAGAAATCACTTGAGTTTGGTAAATATCCAGTGGCTTGTCTCTGATTAACAGACATCCTTAACTTAAAACTTTCCAAGCCTTTAGACAATCTTCATTTCTTTAACCACTTACAAATCAAAGTATCTTTAAACCCACTTATAACCTGTAAGCACCTGCCCCCCTTGATTTCAGATGTCCTGTTTTTATAGGGGCCAAACCAATGTCAGTCTTCCATGTGTTGATTTATTATTTTACGTGTAATTCTTGTCTCCCTAAAGCCATTCTGTAACCCAACCATGGAGGGACCACTTGCTCAAGGCTTCTTGGCCATGGCTTTCCTGGCCATGATCATACACATTCAGCTCAGCATAAACCTCTTTAAATTATTTTATGGAGTTTGGGTTCTTTTCTGTTTATATATGTATCTAGTTTTGCATAACTTTTATGAAATATTTCTGTATGAATGTTAACCTTCTTTATTATAGTACCTGTTCTTAAAAACAATATTAAAAACATTTTATATCATGATTATCCCTGGTTATATAAACTTATTGGGAAAATATTTTGATCATTAAGTACCGCACCAGAGGGCTTAATTCAATCCCCAACTGCAAATATTTGACACTAATTGTGAATGAATATTCAACTTATCTAATCAACAACAACAAGATTTTTCATACAATAGAGAGGGCAGTGTGAATGTGATTATAGAAGTCTCAATATGTTTTTTACTTAAAAACTACAATAATATACATCCTTTACAGCAGTAGGTTTGTAGTCACATTGGATTTAAAAAGAAATTTCTTCATGAAGACACAGTACAATCAGGCATTAAGAACTTTAAAGATATAAGATAACCGTTACAAACAACTGACGTAACATTACACACATGGGATATAACAATTATAGAAATACATCTCATGAAAAACTTAAAAGACATTCTAACTCCAAAGATTATAAAGAAAATTTAAGAGAATAAAAATACGTGGCAAGTGGAGGGGAGATTGCCCCCTCTTTAGTAGCAGTAGTTGTGTAGAAAACAATCCCCTTTGAACTTTGGGAAATAATAGTGTTTTTCATGCTGTCGCACTTTATTTTCTGTGGTACATAAGGTAATAGAATAGACTTAAATTAACAATATTTTCTCTGTTTATATATTGTCACTAAAAAATCTATTATTTTGCTTCATGCAATTTGAAAACTAATCGAATAAAACCTATTAGAATGTACTCTTTTTTTTTTGACTTGTGACTTGTAGGAAGTAGAAAAGTCATCTGTTGTAAAATTTACTGATATTGAAAAACTTTCTAAATTGTAATGACTAGCCAGATTTTTTTTAAATGCAATTAATTACTATTATGACTTACATCAAGTGCATTTTATTATTATACTAGTATTAAAATAATAATAGCCCTCCTCACAATTTGGGTCCATAAACAATGCTGGGGTTTTTGCCATTCTGGTATTTCAAGTTTAAGTATATCCAGACTACATTTTATAAGCATATTTACTTTAATCTTCATTAAAACAATGTATGTTGGGAGTGAAATTCAATGTCATTTTTCCTGCCACTTGCAATGAACTCATCAATAATTTGTAACAGACAGTTAATATTCAATAAACTCTGTAAGCTTTGGAAAATTTAGAAATAGTTTTTCTAACAGAGTAGTCTTTTGCCAAGAATGAATGAATTCAATATCAAGGTTTTCATGGTTTTGTAGAAATTCAGAAATGATAAAGTTCAAATGGATTCAATGTTAGGTCATCCCTGTTGGTAACAAAATTTCAGTGACATTGACGTCTTACATTAAATCTTTGAAATATAGTGAAAAAAAAGAGATACATATTCAATGTATAGCATAAAACAGTCCCAAAACATTCCTTTCATAAAACATCTTCTCATTTATGTCATTAACACATAATGAGGTAAGTAGTTGACTCTATTTCATATGATCGGCAGGGTTTGGGAACACCTGCTTCTTTACCATTTGTCCTAAGGTAACCATACAAAATTCAGACCTCTTAGCATTCCTGGATCCATATGTCAAGTGCTATGTATGTGGTCTATTATTCCATTCCCAGAGTTTCTTGTAAGTACCAGTTTTACTTTATTATTTTTCCTTCCAGGTAATGATCATTCTTAGAAACCGCTTCCACTAAATTTGAATTTTAATAAGTGTAAACAAAATGGGGGATTTGAAAGTTTTAGTTAAAAACTCAAGTCATCCAGGTGGACATACAGTACACCAGTGCCTAAAAACCAGTCTACTTTCACACTGCACATGTAACACAGTAGCAATTGTTTTGTAAACCATTATGTCTTTGAGTGAGATGACAGTGGTGAGATTCGACACTGATACTCAGCTTCTTCTTTCAGACCTCCAACCAGGTTGACGGTAGCGATGACGGTGGCCCCTGCTGTAGATACCTGTGCAGTAAAAGACTTTATTTCACACAGGCTATTAAACTGATGTCAGGTGGGATGGTTTAAAGCAATGGCTCTCAACTCTTAGGATGCTTCAGAATCACCTGTAGGGCTTGTTAACACAGAGATTCCTGAATACCACTCCCAAAGTTTCTAGTTAGTGAAGTTTGGGATAGGGTGGAAATTTGCATGTCTGGTAAGCTCCCAGGTGATGCTGATGCTGATGGGTTCGGAAGTACACTTTGAGCATCATTGATCTGGAACAAAGGAATTCTGACATCTGATTGATCTGTCACAACTGCTGCCTCTCCGAGGTAGTCTTACTCATTCCCTCCCCCTTTCCCTCCCAGTCTCTGTCTTTCTCTTTTCCCTCCCTTCCCACCTCCCTCAAATGGTAAGAACTAGGTATATTAGGGTCTAAAGAATTTACTCTTACTCTGAGCTAATACTTGGCTATTAAGGCATATGTCAATGCTATTTGAAGTTATCCTCAAACTATTTAAAGTGCTTTCATCACAATCTGAAAATTACAACTCTCCTTTCATGCAGCATAAATAAGTTCTCAAATGTACAAAGGGGAGAAAGGAGAGAGTTAAAATACTTTGCTTCCATCAATATAGTGCTGATATTTAACAATATAATCTCAATAAACCTTATACAAGAGGGTAGTTTTTGCTTTGCGTAGTAAAAGGCACAAGGTAACAAAATCTCAAATACTAAGATTTGAAAAAAAAATTGTTGATAATTTGGTTGTATTATTTTTCTCTGAGATTGATGAGTTGGAAAATATATATTAATTATCTTCTGTGAAAATCTTTCTTAAATACCATGCTCCATATCTGTTTTTCAATACAATCAGAACACCTGCTGCTATGAGATGAAAAAGATCTTTTCATGAATACCTCTCTTACTTTTAACTTAATTTAAGATGAATATTTGAAGCAGAAAAATTTTGCAGAGGAACAAATTTGAAATATTCAAGGCTTTGACTCCCCAATCTTACATTTGTATAAAATATAGAACAGTCTTATTCATTTGGGAGTTAAGAGTAAGCCTCTCTACTCTTCTAGCCACCTGGTACTCAGCCCTAGGCCCAGGTGAAATTTGCTGACATTGACCGTCACTGTAATTAAATGGGAAAAAAACAAAGTGCAATTGTACAACCAAGGTTCCAGTGAGGACCACTGTCCTTGGTGGCTTCACTGCTCTGTCATGCCCAGGAATCGTCCCCCCAAGTTGTTTACTGCCTTGCCCTCTGTGAACATGTCCCCCTCACTAGACTACAACTCCTTTGAAGGCAAGTTTACATTCACCCCTACCTCATTCCCTAGCACCTAGCACAGTGGTGCATTTTTAACTTAATCCAGCAAGGCTGACTACATCATATTTATTGGTTAGGAGAATAAAATAATGTGATTTTATCTTATTCTTAAATGTTAAAGTCTTTCCTTAGAGATGGAAATTATTATGCATTAATAGTTACTCAAAAACTTTTATTTTAATTCAAAATCTTACTGGCCATATGAGACAAGAAATGTTAGCAATGGTCAATTTACAAACCTGAGAAAATTATGTAAATGAGTGATAAAATTAATGGAAAAAAAAAGTTTGGTAGTATATACTTTATGTAGTTTAGAAAGATAGTTTTTGAATTACCTAATATGCTATTTTCTATATAAATATTTTCTCAGATGTCACATTGTAACCACAGTCTCTTGTGATTTTTTTAAAAACTATAAAGTCAACTAACATATGTCTGTTGTCAATTAAGTTAGTAATTGCTACTTCATTTAGTAGCCAAAAGAAAATCAATGGATAACTTTTGGTAATTTTTAGAAATTTGAATGTGAGAGATTAAAATAACAAAGGATTATAAGAAGAATTAGAAATGTTCAAACATTTAATTGACGCAAATTATAATACAAGAAACTAAAAGTGAAATAGCCTGAAATAAGTTCAGTTGAAGGTTAAACTTCTAACACATTTAAATCAAAAGTTGAGAGATTATTTTAAACTGACTTTTTTTTATTTCCAAAGAGCAATAGATTAAAAAAAATCAAAAAGATCCACAAGCAGTTTTAGCTTCAGATCATTAGGATAATAAAATTTCTGTTTCCAGTGATTTTTAAAAAGAATAGTTTTACTCAGGTATCCTTGTCATATGAATAAATTATTCTACCAGTTTTGAAGTGGCCCTGCTCCATTGGCTGCCGGGAGTGTGCTTATGCTGGTGAGCACAACCTGCTCTGAAAGTTTTGATATGTTATCAAAATTGCTGATCTGGGTGGTAAGGGACTTCCGGCTCTCTGTGCTAGTTCGTCCCCTGGTGAGCCGATCCTCTTGGCGATGGTGAACTCCAAGGCAACAGCAAGAAAATGCAGCTTTAAATTCCTCTCGAAATTTTCCTGGCAAACCAGGGAGAAGGAAAGGAAAAGGAATTATACATAACTGTTTCAACAAATCATGAATAGGGTACAACTGAGTTGCTCCCCTGAGCCAAACTAACGATGAGGTGTAATATTTTGCAAAGATGGGGAAAATAGAAAAAGGAAATTGAGTTTATTGGAAGCTTGGTAGACTCTTGAAACAATGATGTATTTCCATCAAATAACAAGAGCATTTTTCATGTGTGATGCTTGAAGTTTGTTTCATTCCTTTATAGTCAAACCTCATGTGTTTGTGAATGTAGGTATATTTCAACCATCCAACTATAATAGAAGTGGCCATCAGTAGAAGGATGCCCAGGGATACCTATTTCAAAAACAACGAAACCTATGTCATACATAGCCAAAATTATATAGATATTACCTGAAAAACTGCTACTGACACATTTAATTCCACAAGATATCTAGAAAAATATCTAGAAAAATTTCCCTTTTATACGCTACATAAGGCAGAACAAAAAACTGAAAGGGGGAAAACAATACTTTACGATGTGTTCCTTGTCTTTAAATTCCTGATGGAAAAGTAGAGAACTATGAAAATGAAACAATCACCTTTATTAGAGTGAATGACAGCACTGTGAATCATCATTTCTCCTCTCTGAGCCTCAGTGAATGAATAAACGAGTTATTAAGTGGTTAAATGAGAAGATGGATGTTCAAGGGCCTAGCACAGTAGAAGGTATACAACAAGTTCTCAGAGACTATCAGTTGCCTCCCCGATGCACTCTTAACCCCGTACCAGGATTTTGACTTGGTTCCGTGGCTTCTGCTTAAAACACTTCTTATCACAACTTCCTTATAGGTTTTACCTGCTTAGTGTAAGGCTCAGAGCTTTAGTCCTGTTGTTGTGCAATCATTATTTTAAGACAAAGTCATTTTAAAAAAATCGAATTGTCTTTTTAACCTATGCAACCAGAAGGCCAAAGATAAAGTTGGAAGATTTACATAATTTATTAAGTGTGCAATAAAATAAATTGCTATTCTTCCACATAAAATTACCA